ATATATATATATATATATATATATAATAAGTATATATTTGAACAAGATAGTAAAACAATTGCGTTAGAAAAATAAAATAATTATATTCTGCCGTTTAAACCAAATGAAATGAGTTCCTCTTATATATTATCACGGTCCAGTATTATAGATAAATAGCTTATCAAAGGGATGATAAGCTAAGAATGATAAATGAGTAATAAAAGGAAAGGTTGACTAAACAAAGGTTACAAGGTTTACTTCCTTGCCGACAAAAAACTACAGCCCTAAAATAAATTTTAAAAAGAAATAGTGAACCATCATTACCACCTTGTCTTTGCCCAACCATCCAACCAAGAAAGGAAATTGCAATAATTATTATTTACTTTAATTGCTAAAGCGTAAAATTTCAATCTCATCAAGAAATTTTTCATTTTTTTAATCTTATCGTCTTCTATTATTTAATTAGCTCACTGTCACGAAAAAAAAGTACAAATGAACTATGTGATCATTTTTATGTCGTTGATTGATGTAAAGTGAAATTAGGTAGCCAATAGATCTTTTAACAAGATATAGTACTAACTTTATACCATGTGTTGAGGCTAAGAAAGAGGCTCAAGAGTCAAGTTAAGTACACTTGATTAACTTTAATTAATTGGCTAATCATTATAGATTCATTGAGTTAGGGTGTTGACCACTTAGCTTTTTCCTAAATATTCCAATTAGACGATATAATCACAATATAATAGTCTTTTCCTAGGACCAATTACTATCATTGCTAGTTAATGAAAATTGAAAAGTCGTAGAACTTTTCTTTTTCACTTCTTCCTCTTTGATTCGAAAAAAGTAATAAAGCGATCACCTTTTTTTCTTTTCTTTTTTTTCTCCAAAACAGAGTACATTGGTTTGAGGGTAGAGTGTATAATTCACAAACATCCTTATCTAACATGAAAGATAGAATATGCAATGTTGTGAGAGCTGAGTAGAAGAAAACTCATATGTGTTGGATACTTTAGTTTGTACGAGTTATCAAACAAAGTTTCCAACCCTAACAAAAAGATACCAATAAAAATAAAAAATAACATTCTATTCATGAATCTAAAACTCATGGTGACTCAAAGATAATATCTGTTCTTCTTTTATCAACAATTCGAAAAGAAGGTAAGCTCCATTTGTGCATGTTCATTATGCCCCTGACCTGCCTTGGTAGCTCATCAAAATTATGGAACAGTTGATTTTGTAAAGACTCGTGGCTTAAAGAAGCTAATTTACCCGCAACTTGGTTGCTTTCCTTGAAGCAGTGATTCAAATTAAAAACTGTTTGTCCCCTTAGACTTTTAAGCTCATTAATCTCATCTGAAATCCTCCATAGGACACAATTGTTCCCAATAAGGCAATCCACCAATAGCTTTGAATTGGTCTCTGCCAAGATACAATATAAACTATTGTTAATACATCATTTGATGCCAAACAACAGTGACTGTGCTTCTGCCCAATTGCTAGTTCCAGGGCCTAAATTAATAGTGAACGTAGCAATCAAGCATCCCAAATTATCCCTTATAACTCCTCTCCACATAAATCATTCTTACAGCTTCCATCTGAGTTTAATTTCACAAAAAATACTGGAGGTTTGTTCCACTTGATAATGATGATCTTCTTGAATCCAATATTAATGTTGAATAGATGGAAGATGCTGCTCCAAATAGGTTTGGTATTAAATTTTGGTAACTGGGTGTTAACTATCTGTGAAATGGAGAAATAAATAAGGGACATGGTCCTCCTCACATTGAGTCTTTCAGAGCCATATTTAGTTCCACATCTAACTTTCCAAATTTCCCATGTTGTGACGATTGGTAAACAGTTTATCAAGCATGCTTCAACGGGATTCTTTGTCTTTGCTTTCCACCAATTGACTAGTAACATTCGAAAAGACACCCTTGTAAAGGAATTTCCTTAGCACCACATATAATCCTCCATATACTTTGTGCAAAGGATCCCAAACAAAAAAGATGATCTATAGTTTCATTTACAGGATTTATGCAACAACAACACCGAAAAGTGCTAGAGAGACCCATCCTGAGAACCCTAGCGTCAGTCGGCAATCTGTCTCTCAATGTTCTCCAGACAGTAAAACACATCTTGAAGGGCTCATGTTTTTGCCATGTCTTGGAATCAATCCAAGATTGTCTTTTTACTTTCCTGAATATATTCCAAGCTGAGGCTACGGAGATTACTCCTTTCTCATTGGCAGTCCACACAGGAGTATCTTGAACCGAGGGCCTCAACCTAATCTGCATAGCTTCAATTGTACCCATAACATGGTCAGGTAATAGACAATCTCAACCACCCCACCACCATTGATCATTAACTATAACATCAGAGAGCATAATGTTCCTCATATTGCTACCTTCTGGAAGAAAATTACACAAAGGACCTAAGTTGGTCCAATTGTCAAACCAAAACGCAATATCTCCTTTGCCAA